CAGGCTAGGGCTGGCCCACCGCCTATTTCCCTCACTCCACTTTGGGCCTTTGTCTGATTGAGTTGGCATGGATCTTGCGCTAGATGCCACCATTGCCACAAGTTCACATGAGCAAGCTTCCAGTGACCTGAAAGCCTCTATTTTCCTATGTTCATGGATCAACCTTGGCTCTTACAATCTTCCTGCACCCCTCTTCAGAAATGGTCCCTGAGCTGTAGGTGGGTGGGTTAGGTTTAATATTGAGTCCTAGTCAAGGACACATACTGTCCTTGAAACATCCCCCCAAAGGCCATTTGCTAAAGATTGAGTTGGCAGCCCATGGTGCTGTTGGGAGGTGTGTGGCCTTTAGCGATGCACCAGTGGAAGGAAGTAGGACATTGGAATCATGCTTGGAAGTAGTTGGAGGCATTTTAACCCCTTCTCCTGTCACTTCCTGGCCACCACGATGTGAGCAGCTTTGGTCCATCACAAACTCCTTGCTATGCTGTTTAGCCTCACCACTGTTCCAAAGCAACAGGGCCAAGTGACCATGGATTCAAACCTCTAAAATTGTGAGTTAGAGGAAATCTTTCCTCATTGAGTGTTCGTCTTGGTGTTTACTTTTGTCACTGTGACAGTAGACTGACCACACTGCTCATACCTGTGAAGTGGGATTTGGAGCCTGGCAGTCTGGCTCTGCAGCCACACATACTTTACCCTTGTTGCTCTGCCTCACTTTTCAGAATATGTGCTTTGTGCACACTCTGTACTTGACAGTTTATATTCTCACAGCCACATAGTAAGTTAGGCATTGTTATCCTCAATTTACATATGGGAAGAAGCAAAGCTCAAAGGAGCGAAGGAACTGGCCCAAAGCAAACGACTTAGAATCGTTACTCAGTGGCCACATCTCTGGACTCTGTGTGCCTTTCCTCATGGTGCAGAATCTGGAAAAAAAAACTTCCTCTTTCAAATAGTATTTTTTTATTCTTTGAAAGTTCCATACATTTGTATAATGTGTATTGATCGTATGCTCCACCACTACCTCCGTCCATTTCCCTCTCCTGAATCTACCCACGTTCCTCCCAGTTTCATGTCCTTTTTAATTTTTCATCTTTATATTTTTTTTATTAAAAATCCCCAAGTCCAATTAGTGCTGTGCTTATGCGCATGGGTGTGTGGCCATCCACTGGGGCATGAGCAACTTACCAGTAGCCATGTCCCCAAAGAAGGGTAATTCTCTTTCCCTCGGCAGCCATCAATTGCCAGTATTTCCTCCAGTAGGAGTAGGGCCTCAGGGGACCCTTCCCCATCCATGCTGGAATTTTGCATGGTTTGATCTTGTGCAGGTCCTGTGCAGGTAGCCACAGCTACTGTGAGGTGATGCATGTAACAGCCATGCCGTGCCTTGTCCAGAAATCAGCGTTTCATAGCTCTTTCCCACCCACCAGCTCTTACGTTCTTCCACCCCTTCTTCCTTGAAATTCCCTGAGCTTTGGATGTTGGGAGGCTGATAGAGATGACCCATCCACAGCTGAGCACTGAGTCATTTATACTCAGCACTTGGACCATTTATGTCTCTGCATTACCCACTGCAAAAAGAAGCCTCTCTGACCAAAGTTGAGAACAGCACAAATCTATGGGCATAGCCTACTTTTGTTGTTTTGCTAAATGGAACCCAAACTACTTTCTGATGAGTAGAGCTATCACCAACCTGAATGAATTGCACTGGAGGAAGGGAGGGAGCTTGGGATCTCCCTTTCACTGGAAGTCTTGGGATGAAAATTTATGTCAGCTAGGCAGGGCAAGGGTAAGGGGGATTCCAGCATCCTGTGAAGCGCTGAACCAGATGCTTCCTAAGGTTTTGCCTTGCTCTGGGCTTTTACAGTACTGTGTTTTCTTTTCATCTCCCATGTCATCTTCTTTTCCCCTGGGAGTATTCAAAAGTCTGTGCAGACCTCAAGCTGATTTTTGAATCTAGCTTTGGGGCATAAATGGTCTTGGTAAGATATTCACTTGCCAAGGTAGTTGGCATAATGCCCTAGGGGAAATGTTGGACCATCTGAGAAGTCAGCGTGAATATAAGGGGTGAAGTTATTGAGTATGGAGGAAAATGGAGTGTGGGAGTCTTTCCCATGTGAATTGGTGGATGTGCCACTAGCAGAGCTGCTCATAGACATTCTTTGGGAGTAAAATTCTCTAGCTGTCTCAACTTGCCTTTATCAAACGCTCAGTTTGGGAGCAGTACTTTCCCCAGGGTTGTCTCCACTACAACTTGCCTACTGTCCTAGACATCTTATCTTTAGCTTTGGAGTTTGTGGAAAGAAGCATCTTCCTTCCACTGACTTGCAGGTGCTATTTCTCATGCTGTCCTGGGGTGTGACTCTGGCATGCTGCATGGTCTTGTCATCTCCTGCTTTGAACTTTATCCTTTAACAAGGACCCCAGTGCCTCAAGGTCAGAGCATGTGTGTTCATTTTGTACTTGTGTTTTTAGCTTACCCACTTCCCCCAACCCCTTTTCTGAATCATTATTGTACGTATCTCCCAAATATGTGCATTTCTCTTTGATAATATACCATGCTGGTGGTATGGATGAGTGAGGCGCCTCTGCATATCTGTGTGCTTTGGACTCTTCATCCCATTCCAGCTCTAAGCTGGGGGAAGTATTTTCTTTCTTTTTCTGTTCCTCCTATTTTTATGTATTGTGAATTTCACATATTAGTTCTTCTGGGAATTTAAATGTTTCTCTGGAAGAGGTGTGAAGGTCTAGAAGGAGGTTAAAGTGGCTCAAAAATTGGCTAGGGTTTCCCACAGTTTCAGAAAGTTCATTGTTAGCCCAGACTCAAGATAGGAAAGAAGTTCTGTGCCATGCGATGATTGGATGCTGTGATGTGGGTAGATTCACAGATCAGATAGGCCTGTCCACAGTGACCTCTGCTGCTTTTTGCTTACCTAATTCAAAATGTTGGCTTTGATGCCCCTCTGATAAACTGGAATGGATCCCAAGGATTTGGATGCAGTAACTGTGCCTGTAGCTTGGCAGAATCACAGAAAGAGAGGCGGGACTGTGTTTGTGTGCTCTTACTTAGATGAAAGCTGAGAAATAAAGATGCACAAATTCACATGCGTGCTGTCCATATTTTTGGTGACCTTTGGGAAAATTCCCTTCAAATGTCAGTCAGTTGAGTGCAAATGCAGCCAGTCTCATCTAGTGAGCACCAAAACGTTTGGTTGGGAACCATACCTATCCCTTTTAGACGGTGACACAGTCAGCCACAGAAGGAACACCCACTCATTCTCTGGGAAACTACTTTTAGAAGTCAGGAGATGTTGGTAGATCAGAAGCACTGAGGCTGCATGTGATAGAGTTTCAGTGAAGGAAATGAAAAAAAAAGCAACACTGAATATAATAAAAAGGGTTTATAAGCTACTGAGAAACTCTTGGTAGATTAGTAAACTTTCTCCATGGTAGCAGCATATTAATTTATAGCCTTTACAGGCGTGGAAGTTAAACCTTCTTTGGGGGATTCTAATTAGACCCTCTGTGATAAACTGCTTCCCAGCTCCCGAGTCCCTCTCTTTCTCTCTTGTTCTTTCTCATGCCTAACTTTGCTTCTTCTCTGACAAAGATAAGATAAAAAGATTACCCTTACAAGGAAGAAATTTGAGACTATCCAGGCTGGATACTGATGCCTTTATTTCCTCACTGAAATTGCAATTGTGAAAACAGATTGGGGCGGGGTGGGGAGAATAGTAAATAAAGCCTGCAGAGACAAACTGTGTCAGAATCTTGCCTTCAGGTCCCTGTGTGTGCTTCCTGCCACTTGCTAACTATCAAGGATGGGAATGTGATATAAAATAGGTTCCTTATTTAACATTTTACACTCTAACCTCCGCATTGCCTAGTTGCTTTTCTTGTGACCTTCTCTTTGTGTTTATAACTGCTGCTTTTCCTCCAGAATCCAGCAGTAAGTGGATATTCCTACAGAGAAATTAAAGGAAGCTGTCAGTGGAGAGTTAATATAGTTAAAACATCCTTAACACCACTACAAACCTCTTAAATAATTAAAACTGTGTGCTCCAAGAGTCAAATTTGCATTTCTTCACCAAGTTTATTTAGTACACTTTGTTACACTCAATTAAATGAGAATGCTCTGTTTCATTTTCTTTGCTTCCGGTTGATCACTTTGCCTTTTGGTTCTTATGGCCCTACTGTAATTTCACAGTGCTTAGGTCTCTGAAACTATACAGGTATTAATGCGTAGGCAGATATATACATAGCCATTAGAAGACATGCAATTTGTACTAAGTAGAATCTTTGCCTGAGGCATTGGAGCATTCCTGGTAACCTAAGGTCTAACCTGAATTGCAGATAATTCTTGGCGGTAAAGATGAGCTTGTCAAAGTCCTCTCACCAAGTATTTTTTTTAAAAAGCACTGTTATTTGGTATCCCTTTCCCTCCCTACAACTTGATTAGTAAATCTTTTAGCAAAAGGCAGAAGATACAGGTGTGGAATGGCTGTGGAAAGGAAATTGAGTGTGAGTGTTTTCACATCTCAGTCGGCAGAGCATGCGCAGGCTGCTCCCTGTAAATTAGTTCGTTGCTTAAGTTACGCATGTTTAAAAAGGAATAAATGAGTTATCCATTTCCTAAAGAGTGGTAGGATCGATTGAAACATGATGAGGAAGAAATAGCATCATTTTGCTTCCTCAGTTGGGGCTCAGTATCCCTAAACTTCAGTATTAATCACTACCAGTTTCCTGAACAATTTCTGACACTTTGCTTTTAATTTTCCTCCCAGGTAAGTAACACATTTTGAAATTTTCTCATGGGCTGTAGATGAGGGATGCTGGCTTCTTCATATCCCCCAAATGTCCCTTGCTTCTTTGGGCCCTTTTGTCCTTGCATTTGGATTGTTTGGGTGTGTGCACAGATGACAATAGATACGTTTGTGTGATGATGATTGCTAGGGTTCTAACGTGTTTAACTGTTGTGGGATCTGTTATGTCTACTTTAGGGTCGACCCCATCCCATATGACACTCCAAAACCAGCGGGCCACACGCGGTTTGTCTGCATCTCAGACACACACTCCAGAACAGATGGTATCCAGATGCCTTATGGGGACATCCTCCTCCACACAGGCGATTTCACCGAGCTGGGACTGCCCTCAGAGGTTAAGAAGTTTAATGACTGGTTAGGTAAGGAATGACTGCGTTCTAGCGGCCCCAATTAACCTTTCCCGGTCTAAGTGTCACTCACTGCGTCCTAATTGAATTAGAGTACTTGGAAGCCAGCTCAGCCATTTCTCGTATGATATGCTGTGGTGTCTAGCTTTAATCCAATTTTGTTAATTAAAGATGAATTTTTAGATATTTAATTTGACTGTGCATCTTTCAGCGCCTGGCCTTGGTGGCTCTGGGGCACAGGGATGGAAAGCTTTGAAACCAATCTCATCTCCCTCATTCAGCTTTAATGAGGACATTCATTGGCACACACAAGACCTAGAATCATATTTTTAATTCATTGGCTCTACAACATTTCCGAAGCATTATGATCAAAGATATACAAATGACCTAGCAGTAAGAGAGCATTTCTAAGGAACAGAGAGATATGAAAGTCCTTCTAGGAAGCACAGCCCTTCCCACAGCGCAGTGCTGCCTAGAAGCAGCTTTCCTACCAGTCCTGTGGGTTGTCCTAAGATGCTTGAAAATATCAGCTGTCCTGCCCTAAAACTCCAGAAACAGAATATAAAACCTCCCTAAACACCATGGAAGGATCCTGCAACTCTGCAAAATACTGGGTCCTGAAATAGGCAATTGGCAAATATAAGCACCGCAAGGCACTTGTGGGGTTATCTGCACTGCATTAGAAGACAGATCCGGGGATGGGGTGCAGCTGAGTCGCAGAGCACCTGCCTACCATCCATCCCTCTGCAGGCTGCTGAGATCAATGCCCAGCACCAAAGTGGAAACTTAAAACCTATAGAGTTAGTCTGTCTAAAGAGGCCAAAGAATTATATAATTATAGGCAAAAATTATTCTGGAAGAATAATGTCCTGAATAGTATGCCAACCAATAAAAATTATTCAGGAGATATAGGTGGAAACTTTAAAGTTTTGTTTCCTATCAAACTAAAGCAAAGTATGGGGAACTTCTAAGTTACTGATTAGAAAAGACAACAAGTATGTGTTAGTTGAAAAATAATGCTCATTTAAAATGTTTAAAATATTTTTAAATAAAAAAATAAGCCTCACTACGAAGTATTCTGATTTTTCATGTAGTCATGCATGCCTATGAACCTGTGTGTAATTGTTATCCGAGCGGCCATTTCCTTCATTCTTGGTTATTTTGATTTAATACCATCAATAAGACTAAACATTTGCGTAGCATTTCTGTGTTTATCCTTTTCAGTGGCAACCTGATATGTCATTGGCTGTGCTTTTTATTTAGTGATGCAGATATTTAAAAATGCATGTGAACTGAGAGTAGAGGTTCTTTTGTCAGCTAGCACTGAAATGTGTATTTTCTTATGTATATGTTTCTTTGTTTCCACTGACTTATTTCTAAGGGTGAAAGACTATGAACAAGTTAAGCCCCAAGCCAAAGGCTATGAATTTCTCTGTTTCCGTGACTTTCTGGCACCTAGCTTTCCCAAGGTAGCTGTGGGCTTCACTGGTAGGGAATCAATGTATACTGTCATGATCTTGGCTATGGATGTGGGACCCGTTAAACTCTGTGCTTTTTTAGTAGCTGCTTAGTCTTATTTAAAACAGCTATTTAGATATCATTTAACGTAGTCATCTCACTTTTACAGATGACAGAGATGCAGAGAAGTGAAATGAGTTTCTCAGTCTTCCTGTGGTGGAGTTGGGTATAATTCAGTCTTTGCCATGTTTTTATTGACTCTGTATCTTTGTTTTCCAGTATTATTTCTTTATTTTAGCCACTCTTTTGAATTTTATTTTAATTAATTAATTTTTATTTTTATGTGTATGTCTTTTACCTGCATGTATGTAAGTGTACCATGTGTGTGCAGTGCCCAAGGAGGCCAGAAAAGGGTGATGGATCCCTTGTAATTGGAGTTAAGGATAATTGTTAGCTACCAGGTGGGTGCTGGGAGCCAAACCTGAATCTTCTGCTGGAGTAACCAGTGCGCTTAACTGCTGAGTCATCTCTCCAGCCCCATAACTACTTTTAAAAAAAACTATATATGCACATGTGTCTGTGTGGGGGTGTTTACACTAGAGTACAGGTGTTTGAGGAAGTCAAAGATTTCAGATCCCCTGGAGCTAGAGTTACAGGGTGTTGTGAGCCACCCAGCTTGGGTGCTTTGGAACCAAACTCTGGTCCAATGTGATCTTAACCTGAGTCATCTCTTCTGTCTCCATTTTAACCACTCTGCCACTCTTACCTATGACCTCTTTGCTGTTAAAGTTTTGGGGGGTGGTCACTGAATCAACATAGACCTTAATAGCTATAGCCTCATGGGTCAGGGTGGTTCTTTTTTTTTTTTTTTTTTTTTTTGAGAAAGGGCACAGCACTGTGGGAGGTGTTCACGGAAATACAAGACAGGTTAGATCCTGATCATAATCTTGTAGAGCTACTGACCTTGGGCAACTGAGTTCACCTCTTTTCCCCTTGGTTTCCCTCTGCAGACTAAGGATTAATATTACCTGTCTTTCTGGATTGCTGTGCAGATTAATCAGTAAATGATTGCTGGTAGTGAGTTTTGTGGGCCATTAATAACGGAATGGGGAATGTGGTGGAACCATCAACAGATATCGAAAGGGTAAAAACAGAAGAGGTCAGAGGAATTATTTAGTAGATTAGAAGTAAACACTTGGAGATTTTATAAGGGAACATACTCCATAAATGGAAATGTGCCGTAACTAAGGAAATAAAATGATAAGGAAATAAAATGCTAAAGCCCAGCTGCACGGTCAGGTCCTTTTCTCCCTCACACCCCCCACATCTTGTGAGGCAGGAGGAAGAGGTCTCAGCATGGGGTATAGAACCAGAGACCAAAGGGAGCCCATGGGATCCCATAGAGAAAGCTGTGAATAGCTCACTGTTACCAGGGCAACTCAGTGCTCAGAGGGTGAGATGGTGTGTGATTACGCTGCCACTTGGCACAGGCGGGAACTCTCCCCTGGAAAGGGAACTTCCAGCATTCCCTGTAGGTGGCTGGCAGAACAGAGTGAGGGTCAGATCATTCTAGGGCCAATAGGACATTCAGCTCTCACTAGCTGGGGTCACATGGTTCAGTCCATTGAACTCTGACTGATTTCCATCTTTCTTCTCTAGTCTACTAACCTGATGTTTGCAAATAACCATGCCTTCTCCCATGCTCCATTACTCTTCCATTAGGCTAATCTGTTTCTGTAACAGAACAGATACTCTACAGCTGTTTGCCAATGTTATTCCCATTTTATAGATAACTTCTCCAAGGTCATTTCATAGGTAAGAAACTCCAGAGGGCTGGCAAGATGGCTCAGCAGGTGAAGGCATTTACTGCCAAATCTGACAACCCCAGTTTGATCTCCAGGTCCCACATTATGAAGAAAGAGAGCCAACTCCTTCAAGTTGTCCTCTGACCATGAGCTAATAGTGCACACATGTGAAAGATGAGTTTAAGCCTTGCCCATCGTGACTATGTACCAAGTACAAGGCCTAAGAACCCCTAACGGGCTCACTGTTGGTTCTGAGGCAATGGGTCCTCATTAGTATGCCCATATGCCATCTGGCAGGTATAACACAGAAAGTTATTATACAAGGCAAATTTATGAAATGAGCTAGCATATCCAGGAAGACAGGGCTGAAGCCAAGTATAGCTTCATATAGCTTTCTATATGATAGAAAAGTGAACCAGCATGCTGAGATTATAAGCAACTGGGCACACAAAGCACTGGATTTACTATTTTTGATGAATTGTTTAAACTCCTGAGTCTTGTCCTTTTTTGTAAAATGAGCATATATGCAGTATTAAAAATACTACGTCATGGTGGCTGTGAGGATATACTCTGGGTTCAAGCTTATGCCATTCTGGACTGCGACAGTTATGACAGAATCTAGAATCCCCTGAGGGATGGGCCTCTGAGTATGCTTGTGTGTATGTGTGTGTCGGGGCGGGGGGTATATTGTCTTGATTACCTTCATTGATGTGGGATGGCCTGGCACTTTTCCCTAAGTAGGATCCTGGACAGTTTAAACACAGAAAGGGGAGCCACATGCACTCATTTCTTTTTGCTTCTTGGATGTGGATGTCACATAACCAGCTGCTTCAAGCTCCTACTGCCTTGACTTCCCCTCCATGAGGGACTGTAGTTATGAAATGTAAGCCAAAGTAAACATTGTCTCTCTTAATTTGCTTTTGTTAGAGCATTTTGTCCCAGCGATAGAAAAGAAACCAGACAGTTTTCCACAGTTACTGCCGAGGAAGAAAAAGTCTGTGGCTCAGGTTCTTCCTTAAGTTCAGACAAGTAGGAAATGATCTCAGGTGTTGAATTGGGGTCTTTCAGATTCCAAGCCCCAATCTGGCTGATCAGACATCCCATTTCTCATCTTTTCAATCTGCCTGTCTACCTAGCTTTTGTCCTCTAGAGAACCAGCCCTGGGCTGAAGAGACAGGTGGTTTCCAGAAGCAGGGACCAAATGCAAGCTTGTGGGAAAGAGACACACATAAATCATTCTCTCCCAGTATTTAAAGAATGATAGTTAAATAATATAGACTCATATTTTAGCTCAGATATGCTGCAAGTGTGTCAGGGATAGGCAAATGCTGGTCAGCGGAACTGGAGCCCTGCCACCCAAACTCTACAACATTTTCTTTTTTCATCTTGGCAAAAAGCATCCCAGTTACAGAATTGACTTAAACTTGTTAACGACAAAGTAGCTGTCAGTTAAAATGTGATTATTTTTATTGCTTTTTCTTACATTCTGAACTCCAGTGGCTTCTAATACCACTGTCCCTGGAGGCACATTTTATAAGGCATCTTCCCATGTTCGTGTTGGCCAGGTCTTCTTCCTGCGGATGCCTGTTTGCTGATGCTCCTTACTGTTCACTTGATTTCCACTCTACGTCCTCTTGTTTTCAGAATAATTGGGCAGGGCTCTTCTTGATAGTCTATACTCTGGTGCATGCCACACCAATAGTTGTTAGTGGGTCTTATTTGATTGCATGTCTGCTTTTTCATACCCAA